GTTTCCATCAGGGCCAAAAAATGTAATTTATTTTCGTGTCAAGGGGGTTGCTCAGTCTTTGCTGGAGAAACAACAGGCTTACCATCCAGACAATAAAAATAATAAAAGACACAGTGCATTTCTGGAAGTGTTTAATAAATAACAATATCAACAACAACAAAAGGGTTTGCTTATATCAGACCTGGGTCAAATTGTATTTTAAAAAATGTGTGTGTTGCATCAGTCTACTTAGAGTGAGTGTTGTGTATAGGACAATATAATGGGTGGCAGAGAAATACTATAATTAGCATGATTGTGTTGTGGTGCTAAAACTCTGAGGGGCCCCAATGCTCTGTCACTAGCTTAGCAGCGGTTTAAGGTTTATAACAGGTTTAAACCCATGCTGTCTTGAAATAAATCACGTCTTCACCTGTCTTCAGACGCTCCAGTTTAAAAATGAGTCCTATGGTGGTTACGTAATTGTCACTAAAGGTCATCAGATCTGAGGCTCAAATTAAATCTGCTGCAGAGGCTGAAACTAGACTTTAAATAATAAAATACACACTGTATATGGCTCTAATGCTATTTTTAATTTTCTTCCTTGGCAGTTAATCACAAGTCAGACATCTGAAACTAATTTCCTCTCAATTACAATTTTCCGCATTGGATCACCTGTGGCCATGTGGGGCGGTTCATCATCATACTTTTGGTTAAGTTACATTTTAGCTGTGGTTCAGATGAACCCGAGCCAGTATTTAATATAAAGGTAAAAATCTACAGAGCTCCAGAGAAGTCATGGGGCGATTTTTATTCTGAAACCATTTTGCATTCCCTTGCAATAAATTGTGCGTTACATATAGTATTATCTGTTCCTGTCAGGGGGAACACCAAAGTCCCACCATGATCCTTCAGGGACAATGTAAAAAATCCTCCACTTTTAACCCTACTGTCTAACTTAAGAGAAAAATGTCTTTTTTACTTAAAAATGTTCTTAAATTAAGTGTAAAAATGACTGCAGCACAGAAACAGAAGCGAGAGCACAAATTTGTACAGTTGATTGTACAAAACATTATTGGTCACTGATAAATAATTTGTAAGCTGAAGTGACATATAATTCACACAGCCTACTATCTGCACTTGATTTGAACATTTGATAGGATGTAACATGATTTTATTTTAATTTTAAGAACACAATATATTTTTGCAGAATAACACTTAACAGAGTAAAGTATAAATATATTTTTGAAAAGGACAAAAAAATAGACAAGGTAACTTCTTGTCTCTAAACAAGTGTTGCTCCTGAAGTTTACAGTATTAAGGGAATATTCACCTCCCGTTCGAAGCTTTGTGTGGAGTTCGACATTGGGGAAGTTGAAGGTCAACCAAAAGTAACGTGTGTATGGTTGATCCCTAAAACAAACTACAAACCACTGCAGCACTGCCCACATTTAGCAGGGTTTAGACGATGGCCACTCGCCTGCATTCGCGTATGTGTGACTGGCCCTAAGTGCACTTCTTAGAAGTTTGAAAAATACAGGACCCATGCTCATATTGACTCAGTCAGCAGTGAGGCTGCACAGCTGCAAGCCGCAAGCTGAACCTGTTATAAACCACAGCTAAAACAGTCAGATACAGAGTGACACAGCAACAACCCCTTGATATTTGGTTCTCCTACGCAGGTAAAATCAATAGCTACACACCAGCTACAGATACTATTTGACCCAGGCCTGGTGTATATACATGCAGTCCTGATACTTTGATGTATACCAATAATTTACTTTGTGCAGAAGGTGAGAAGTCTTTGGTGATGAGTATGTCTGTGTTTGTACTGTATTTCACTGAGCGCGCGATGCTGTGTGTATGACGTGCGTGTAAAGTATTCACTGCCGCCATGACTTGCGGCTCAGCACACACACACAGGCTACGTTGATGCGTATGAGCCTCCACGCTACCAGGTTTTTAAATGAAGTCAGTGCTCGTACAAAAGTGTGCGAGTTGGTGCAGTAGGAGTTCCAGTGTCTCGCATCAATTCCCAAACAGCCAGAGCTGCCTGAACGGGCGCTGTGACACGTTGTTTCAAAGAAGTACTGCTTCTTATTGACATTGTTGATGTTCACGTCTGGTAGCACTGTCACCTCGTTGCCTGAGATGTCTGTGGCTTTGGTCTTGTTGCCCACCCAGACGCTGATGCTCTCACACACTGAGTAAACTCCACGGTGCTGAGCCTGCCCTGCTCGCCTGCGGGTCCTTCTGCCGGCACCCTGTGACCCTGCCGGTTCTGCATCAGGGGGCTGAGCGCTGAAGAGCACCCTGGGTGAGAGGTAGCGGCGTTTGGTGAAGAGTTTGGGGTCCACTGTGGGGACGGAGCTGGGGTTGTTGCTTGGACACTGCTGCTGTGCTGCTCCTCCGATGGTGGCCACAGCCTGGGCACTGAAGAGGAGGAACAGGACCAGCATGGACGACCTCATGGGCACACAACCTGAAGGTGTACAGAAAACACTTGTGTTACTGCAGATGCACAGTATACTTGACAAGATCTTCTACCACTGTTCCTACTACTTTCCAACACAAAATCATGGATCCTTTTTGGGGATTTCTGTTGTGGTCACAAGGTATAGACAGGTACAGTAGATGTGTGAAAATCTCGTCCTATATTGAGGCCAGGTGCATCACAATGTATTTGAACACTGGCTTAAAGCTCCAAATACTTCAGAACCTGAAATTTCATTGAAGTTCTGGAAACTTTAATCCAGTGTGTGGATATCCCTATATTTCCTTCCTAGTTTCAAGGTACAACATGTTGAACAGTGAGATTAACCTAATTGGTGCACATAGCAGCACCTCAAACATACCTTTCCTAACACTGAGGGTTTGAGAGTTAATCCTCATTGGTTTAGCAGTATCAGTTTTTACATCTTAATTGTTTTACAGGAGATTTACAGGAATTTCTTGGTCAGCTTCCACATTCCACAAGACTGTGTCCTTATTAACTACACAAGATCCAAAGATCAAATGATTATGTTTAGGTTAGAGATGGTGCAAGGTCCAATCATTTGGATCACAGATTCTACCTTTTTACCTTGTGAAGAGTGACAGTCTGGTAGTAGTCATAAATAAGAGGCAGGATAATGAGATACAGGAAATGATTTAATGTTTGATTCCTAGTTTAATAGTTAACGGTGAAATGTTCAACCTACTACAGAGAGGAAAGATGAAGAACTCTTTGAATCATGTCTGGTTTTTGTCCGGAGATGTTCTGTATTTTTGTATCTGCATTTGGACAGGTTAAGACAATGTGTCACACACAGTAAATGCTATTCTCTCTCTGTTATTTCACAGGGGTTATGACAGTGCAACCAATAAACTGTAAATAACAAAAAATTTGTTCAGGCTTTTATGCTATTGTTTTATTTTATGGATATCTGAATGGGAGCACAGTCATTTCCATGATTTGATTGAAGCTTGAATATCCATCTGAAGTTTGCTTCTTGATATTCACCAGGGTTCAACATTAATGTTTTTTGGTGGGTCAAAAATATACTTGCCCAAAGTCAGTTTCTACTTGCCTCCATACAAAATGTTTTATTTATTAGCAGCAAAAACTAATTTTAAGTTTGAAAAACAACCCTTATTTTATCTTCCTTGCTCTCAAACTACAACAAAGTTGGAGTTTCGCCCACATCCTCTAACGCCACCCAACCAAACTCTTGGTTCCCTTCTTAGCTTCTTTTCCCAATTGCCCAATTTGGCATTTTATTTGCCCCAGGCAAGCAGGCAGTCCTTTTGTTGAGCCCTGTCCACAATTTGAGTTGAGCACAAAGAGCACAGTTTAATATAATCTTCCAACTGTATTGACATGAAAAAGGAATCCATTAATTGTTTACGCATAAGCAGAAAGACATTAGTATAATTTTCAATAAACAGAACTGAATTCCCATTTTGGGACAGTCGAATATGAATAAACCTTGTATGTGTAAGTTATTCATGGAAGTAGGTGTCACATTACCCACAGGAATCGAAGAAGACACTGTTGTGACATCCCATCAGTTTGATACAATTCATCACACTGTGACTCCATACAACACAACACACCACAACACAACATCTGTCTTTCCTGGCTTGCATAAATTGACAGGCTGTGTACTGTATTTAACAGGCATGTTAACACCTGTGATGTCTCTGCTGGCAGGCTCTGTCAGGTAGGTTTATTATTTTCTCTGTTTGCCTCAGGTGTCAGGGTGAATGCCTGTGGATTAAAACAGTTGGCACAACAAATCAAAAGAAAAATCATACAGTACAAAAGAACATAATGTGATCTATGATTACACCATCAAACGCTTGTGAGGTCCGGCCAATTCAGGTTAGTATTCTCTCCTCACACCAAAAGAAATTTCAGGCAAGACCAGTGCAGAGAAGACTGTGTTCTATTTTTGTACATGCATGTGCCAGTTTGGATTGCTTTAGGACACACAGGAAGCGGAAAACAGTCATCCAGTGGAAAAAGAGCTAAAACAAGACAGATGAAAAGGGGAAAAAGATCCTGAACCTGAATGAACAACTTCTCTTCTGTAAAAGCAAGTTAAAGGCCCTCATGAGACCAAGAATGTCACTGAAATTGCTACCTGGAGCATTTTTCTAATACTCCATAGGACATGCATCATATACATATGGAAAGTAAATATGTGAGGCTTACTAACAAGGCTTAGTGGGACACCTAAATGGAACAGAGCCTTAATTAATGTTATTAGTTACACCTGTGCGTTTCCTGTCTAACCGATGTGCTGTCTCAGCCAAGTCTCACTCGGAAAAGAGATTCCACTCTTCCAGGTTTAATAAAATAAAAAGATCTGTAGTGAAAAAGGTCTTGAGAGAAAACTTACTGTGTTACTTGTGGAGTAACATATCACTGTGTAAAATGTTATATTTTAAAGACTGAACAATGACGATTTGAATTCCCACAGCATTAATTTACTTATTTTAGACCTAAATCTGATTTTATGACAATATTAAAGCTATTTATTAATATGCAAGTCGAACTAAAACTGATTTTATTTCAGGATGCCCTATGTAGTGAGCAAGCACAGTCCAGTTATGTTTTAAGGAGGAGTATTGTTTGATGTTATGTTTGATCGGTTGACTTAATTCTTTTAGAGGCTACCATCCATCCATCTCAATACCTTTTCAGTGTCTCCACGTGAACTGTAGCACTTCTGTGGCTTCTAGAGGACGTGATTAGAGCTCACTGTGTTCTGGGCTCCTGCCATCAGGCCCAGCTGAGGCCCACATCCAGCACAGCTCTGCCCTCCTCGGCCTCCGCTTTGTATCCCTGTTGAGAGACAAGCAGAGAAAGCGTCTCACAACGGCTCATAAACCCACTGTAAACACATTCTTTGGGAGATCGATACGGGAAAAGAAAGTTAATGTTATTCCCGCTCACCAGATCCTCACATACTAAACATACCGAAATAAAGAAGCAGACCTGCATAATGTAGATTATCTAGAGTGGAAACATGTAGTTTAGTTTAATACCAATGTAGTAAACTCTGTCAGCATTCCTTAATATATGAGTTTAGACAGGTTTGTTGAGACTTAAACACTCCTGTACCTTTAAAAGACAGATAGCGAGACACGTAAAGTTAAAAGATTATTTAGGAACAAGCAAAAACCAGATCATTTAGGAATTTGGTATTTTGTTTTTGAAGCCACATACAAACACAGAGAGTCAGAAATGTGTCAACACCACGTAACGTTTTTCTTACATCAGGCTTGATTTCCTATAGGACCATGATTAATTTTTGTGCAGTGATGAAGCCACCATTCGAGTTAGATAATCCATCACCTTTAAACCAGAAGCCTTAATTCCTGCTTGTCATTTTGTTTTATCATCATGTCACTGTGCTTGAGTTAAGTGTCAGCAGAGTTACGCGTTATGCTGCACCTTACTTAGTGTCAATCACCTGACACCCACAGAAACAAAGTCTTCACAAGCAAAGGAATAATCCCAGAAACCATCTTTCCTTTGCAAGTACTTTCAAGCATGGCTGAGGAAGTCAGAAACAGTGAGTGGGTTATGGAACGCTTGCAAAATGAAAGGAATGTAAGATATATATAAACAGAAGTATATGGGCTGTAAATCTAAATGGCACCGGTGTACTCCTGTAAAGAATCTACACTGGCACAGGAAATGCTCTTGCTTTATGGCACCTTAACAATAGTGGTCTCTGGCTGTCACGGGGTTTAAACCTGTGAGCTCTCAACCGCAGGACAGGCTGTTTAACAAGTGAGCCACCCTGCTTTTGTGCTCCATATTCTTAAATACGTCTCAGTCACAGTGTGTCTGTCATGAAGTGTAACTAAATAATTAACAAGAAGCACTAACACGGTTCATTAGTGACCTTGGAAATAGTCTGACAACATTATTCCGACTCACGGTCAACTTGCTGGCTTTTACTGGAGATTTCAATTATATGACGCAGTCTTCCTCAGAGTTTTCTCAGTAGTCATGGAGATGGAGTTGATGTGAGATCAGTAGGACTTTTAGGTAATCTCTTCCAGAGGAAATGTCCAATAAAATCATAACTGAGCTTGCATGTCGACACACCCGTCCACATGAAAACTGAGCAAAAACAAAGGGGAAATTAGCTCTACTCATTGCCTTAGTATGTATCACCATCCATTGTGTAATTCACATAAAGGCAAAGAACTCTTCTCACCTTTTTGTATAAACTTACATTTTAAGGCTAGTGGTGTATAAGAAGGAACAAAATGTTGTAAACGCACCTCATTTGTTGCACACAAGGTTGATCAATTCAAAGTTATTTTATTGTCATTTAAAACACAGGGTTGTAAAATGAAATTTAGATATAGTTCATTGTATGCTACTTGTAAAACAAAATAAAAATGGACTAATAAGTCATAAAAATAAAACAAATACTAATTTCTATGAATGAAGTGCTGAGGAAGAATGTAGCAGTCTCACAGCCTGAGGGAAGAAGCTGTCTTTTCGTCTCGCGGTACGGCAGCGGAAGCTTCTGTACCTCTTCCCAGATGGCAGCAATTACAACAATTACAGTTTCACTAAATGTTACAGTGGACAGGACTGGGCAAGAAACATGATGTTAAATTTCAGTTTATATTTTTAGGATCCTTACTTATACGTTAAACTGTTTATATGTTTGGCATTGTGTATTTTGGATATACGTCTAACTTGTATTTTAGGTTTTAGATTTGCACTCTTTTCCTACTGTGCTGCAATTGCTGCACAACAATGTCCCTAGGGATAAATAAAGTTCTATCGTGTCAGAAAGTATGTAAGTTTTGCACAAATTACAACCAAGAGTGATGCAATGAATGTGTGTTTGATCTAGCTGATCAGATGCATTAATGCCTCAAACTAATTCAGTAACTTTAGGCTAATTGATCTGCTCTTTAATACCAGCAGCTAAGCCACCAAACACTGATATTAAGTCAGAAAACATAGAGTGAATGGCTGAAACGCATAAGCATGTTTTTTAAGTGTTACTATGAGTAAACAGCCTTTTTTTTAATCACTACCCTCTTGAGTGCCTTCTACACATTGATATTTATTATGAAATACCAGAGAATGTGTCACAGATCAGCTGCATTACAGCAGCAGAGAAATACAAACTTGTGTCATTAAAGATAATATCTGTGTAAAGAGCACAATGGGAGAAAATGACAAGATAGAAGTATTTGTGCTTTCTTCATATTATTATCAATCTGTTCAACAACAACATTATTATTTTATATATCATGCAAAAAAGCTTATTTTCAGGATCAGATT